AAAAAAAAAAAAAAAAAAAAAAAAAAAAAAAAAAGGAGGCATGTAAAACTACCCACAAACTTTCCAACAGGGGTCAACCACAAGGAGGGCGGTTCTCCATCACTGCTGCATGCATCCATGCACCCCCAGATTTTACACCACACCCTTGCTGGGCTGGGTGAAAAGACACCCAACCACATCAGTTGTACCCTTATTCCCCTCCTCCTCCCCCACCCCTCTCCCACTTCCACCCTCCTCTGGCTTCAATTCAGTCTTAGAGACTTAGACTGATCCTCTGGCTTCACTTCAGTCTTAGACTGATCTATTCCAAATGGAATTGTGTTATCTTCACCAAATTTTTCATCGCATGACAACTTCTGCTATGCTACCAGACTGTGAACCCCCCAACCATCCTTCCCCCCCCTGCGGGCATTCAGTCGGGCTGCAACCTGAACTAGGCGAACGGGATTAGGTTATCTTCAGCAACGTGAACTTCAGGCAACACAATCTCTTGCGACAGCCTGAGCTATCCCAACGAGCCAACGAGATAGAAGTTATCTCGATGATCAGTAAATCAACATCTGATAACGATCTTCCATTTCGATGTCGTAGGGAAGGGCGTACTCACACACGCACTTCCGAATATGCATCTGACCGCAATTACAGCCAGATGTGGACGGATCTGACTGCAATCACGTCCAGAGCTTTGGGAAAAAAGTCCTAGTTTGTGTGAAGAGTATGCCCCAGACGGGCTCTTTTCCCTATTTCACTAAGTAGAACATCTATATTTACAAACGTACGGGAGGAGCTAGTTATGCACACATACAGTCAGCATCCAGAATTGCTATTCGACATCCTCTTCCTTCTGCCTGCACACCCTTTCATTGACACGTATAGGGCCTCGCTCCACACTACTCGACATTCGACATGCATGTGGACGATTTTCTGCACCACGTGCACTCGGAGTCGTCCAAAATTTTGAACGTGTGTAAATGATGATTAACTCCAGATACATACAGTGTTGTGTAGTGGAGCGAGGCCCGTATACCACGCCAGCGTAAGTATCGAGGAGAATGCGTACAGGTGGACAGAACTTGCCTCCTACTCGCCCCCCCCGATGAGGAAGGGGGAGGGATTCCGGAGGGAGTGCGCAACCACAATGGCTTGATCGACCCGAAGGAAGGGAGGGACGACTCTGCCAACGACAAACACAGAAGCATCACGAAGAAGAAAGACAGTAAAAGAGAACAGAACGAGGAAGAAGAGAGAGAGAAGAGTTCTGCATTCCCCTCCGTTGACGGCCTGCAGAGGGCTGTTGGACAAAGGAAAAAGCGAAAAAGCTACGGAAACGACTGTGAGACCAGGGAGAACGAATGACATCAGAGGAGTTGGAGGGGTAAATAGAGGGGCAGAGAGGATGTGTAAACATGACAATGCACCCCACGCTGCCGTCCGCAAGGCACAAGCAGCCGTGCTTTCGCGGCTTGACGATGAGCGGGACAAGCGACAGCATACGATCACAAGATAACGATCTCGAGGAGGAAAGGCAGAACAAGACAAAGGAAATGGAGGACGACGAGGAGGAGGAGTGCTCTCTTCGTCATACTTGCGTCTGGACAAGTCGTTCCACTGCTCTTCCCGAAAAAAAGAAGGCATTTCGCGCATCGAGCCATTTATGAGGCTGAGGCGGAAGTCGAACCCAACGATGATGAGGATGGAAGCGTAAGGAAACGGAGGGCAAAGGAACCTGGCGAGGCGGACATAATCGAAGGAGGGGGAGGAGGGGGAGGAGGAGGAGGAGGAGGCGGAGGAGGAAGGACAGGAGGGGAAGGGGGAGGAGGAGGAGGAGGCGGAGGAGGAAGGACAGGAGGGGAAGGGGGAGGAGGAGGAGGAGGAGAGTAATGTGCCGCCTCCTGATCATGGATTGTATTTAAACAGGACGTTCTGGGTGGGCGTTGCAAAGAAGGCAACGCGCATTGAGCAGTTTACAAGATTGGCGAGGAAGTGGAAGCCCACGACGAGGAGGATGGAAGCGAGGGAAACAGCGGCCGGAGGAGAGTGGCAAGGCGGAGAAAGAAGGATCTAATAGCCTTGGCCATCTTCAGGCGAGCGGGAGAAGGCCAGGAAGGTTCGCTGAAAGCCCGCACGGAGTTGAGGCACACGACGAGCGTGCCCCCTTCGTGCAAGAGGACGGTTAACCACAGTGGTAGAACACCGAGGACGGCAGGGAGGGCTGCAGCGAGGATGCAAACCAAGGCTAATGCCACACTCTGCCTCACAATGAGAGTGGTTTGGCGCGCTTTGGCGATAAGGAACGGCAGGCTGTCGATTCCATCACGCAAGAGAAGCACATCGGCCGCGGCTATGGCGGTCGCGCTTGCTCTCTCAGCCAGAACGACTCCGACGGTAGCCGCAGCAAGAGCTGGGGCGTCGTTGATTCCGTCACCCACCATTATCACTCCTCGGTTGCGCGATGAGCTCTTCCCGGACAGCTCTCCTCCTCCCCTCCCCTTTCCTACTTCCTGGCCTTCGTTGTCAGCGCCCTTGGAGATCGTTGTTTGCATATGCTCTTGTTCTTCTGGACCTGATTGGTCGGCTAGAGAGGTCGGACCGAGCACCCACCACGGGAGCCAGGTCGAGACCAACGAGGAGAGGGAGGAGGGTAGGGCGTCGGGATACGGCGAGGACGCGGAGGACCATCTCGTCACGTGCCAGAGCTTGTCTTCTGGTTTAAGCGACGCAAGCACGTCCTTGATTCCGACGGCACGCGCGAGTCTGCGCGCGTTGGCGGGGCTGTCGCCGGTCAGCATGCGCACGTGCAGCCCCGCAGAGCCTTGAAGCGCAGAGACGATCCGCGCAGCGTGAGGACGAACCTTGTCCTCGAAGTGGAAGAGGGTAACCTTCTTCCCGACAGCGAGAGCGGCGACGACAAGCTGGCCACTGCCCCGTGCCAGCGCGCTCGCGGCGGAGCGGATACGCTCCGCCTCCTCCGGAGAGAACTGCGGCGACTTCGCAACGAAATCCAGGGAACCAAGCCGCGCAGTCACCGCCGACGCCGCCGGTTTCTCCTCCCTTCCTCCGCTACCAGCTGTTATATGTTGAGCGGCGGACGGCTGCTGCAGCGGCGGCGGCGGGAGGTTCTCCCGCCGATGCACACTGCCATCGATCTTCGGAACTTCCGCGGAAACCTCGCGGAAAGTTCTGATGTGGGCGGAGACTCCCTCCCCCGGCAGAAATTCGAAGTCTTCCACCTCCACCGCGGGGAGAGCGCGCCCCTCGCTATGCTGGACGATCGCGCGCGCGATGGGATGAGTAGCGCCTCGTTCTATCGCCGCCGCAATGGCCAACGCTTCGCTGAAGCAGTCGGGATCGCAGCACGAGCTCCTCACCGCCAGATCTGCTCCCTCTTCTCCCTCTTCCCCTTCTTCCGCCACCGCCTCCCCCTGTCCAGTCTGCACGCCGAGGGCCCCCTCCTTCGCACGCGGGGTAGAGGAACCGTCATTGGCTGTCGCCGTTGCAAGAGATACATCGGGATCGGGATGAGGACTGCCGACGTGTCCCTCCAGTGGCTCTATGATCTTACACATGAGCTCGCCCGTCGTCAAGGTTCCGGTCTTGTCGAACGCCACCGTGTCGCAACCCGCCAACGCATCAAAACACTGCCCACCTTTCAGCAAGATCCCCTTGTTGGCGCAAGCGCTGATTGCCGTTATGTATGCGAGCGGCGCGACGGCGAGCGCACACGGCGACGCCGCCACCATCAGTCCTAGCGCACGATAAACAGACCCGCGCGTTCCCGCCGCCGTTGTCATGATTGGCCACTTGAAGAGGATCGGCCCAAGCACGGCCACCGACAACGCCGCCGCCATCACCGCGCGCGAGTAAGTTTCGCCGAACATGTCCAGCCAGCGTTGCAAGCGCGGCCTGTTCCGCTGCGCCTCCGACGTCAGGCGGACGATCCGCTCCACAGTCGAGTCCCCCCACTCCTTCACAACCCTAACTATCAACATCCCTTCCGCGTTCATCGCGCCCCCGGGTACGTTGTCCCCCGGCCCCTTGGACACCGGCAACGCCTCCCCCGTCAGGTGTTCCACATTGATTGACGACTTTCCCGCCCAAACCACTCCGTCAACAGGAATGGCCTCTCCCGCCTTCACCAGTAGGAAATCCCCCACGTGCACTTCCCGCACGGGCACCGGCCGATACCTCATGTTGGAGAGCGGCGCAGGTTCTTGCATATCGAATGGCTCGAGGACCAGCGCCACGTCCGGCGACCGGTCCTTCAACGCATTCACGTCGCCCAACGCCTTCCGCGTAAAGTAGTCCTCCGCCGAATGAGATATCGCGAACATGGCGAGCAGCAAAGCTCCTTCGAGAGCATTACCCATGAAGACAGACGCAAATGCCGCCAAAGTCATCAACACGTGGATGTTGATGCGCCCGCCAGCTATGTCGATTAACCCGTCTAGCAGCGCGGGAATGCCTGTCAGGGGGAAAGCAAGGGCAATCAGCGCTGAGCAGATCTTCGTTCCACCGATGGGGGACGACGGAGGGACGACACGTGGAGCCGCGCTGGCCAATATCAGCATCACGAATGACACACCAGACATCGCCAGGTTCTCGCGCAACGCGTCGGCGATCAGCGCCACACGCGTAACCCTCGCCGCGCGAAAAATGGCCTTTTGCACCAGGTTCAGATCATCGTACGACAGATGATGATGATGATGATGGTGGTGATGATGATGATCGTGGTGGTGGTGGTCACCATGATGATCGCCATCATCATGGTGATGGTGATGCTCACTTTCACTCCCATCATGGTGATGGTGATGCTCACATTCACTCCCATCATGGTGATGGTGATGCTCACATTCACTCCCATCATGGTGATGATGAGAATGCTGATGGTCGCTGTGCGCCGCACTAGAGCTGGCGAGTGTGTGATCATCAAGGCGAAGGTCGGCAATAACATTACCATCATCATGACTATGAGGGTGGTCGTGATGCTGATTATCATCACCGCGACTGTGGACAGGATCTTCAGTGTTGTTCATATAATGCCGCCGGTCTTCTACAATGCGAGTGACATTTTGGGATTTCCCAGCTTGGGGATGGCCCAAACGGTTGGCTTCGGCTGCGCCACCTCTTGCTCCTGCATTACTCTTCGTGCCGACAACGGTGCTGGCGCCCGTCATGGCTCTGGCGTCCTCCCCCTCCTCCCCCTCCCCCACTCCCCTCTCTGTCGTGTTCCAACCCCCTTCCCGCGCAGAGCAAGCGCAAGATGATCCCAACCATCTCTCGTTCACCCTGCTGTTGCCGCCACGTGCCGTCTTCGTGACGCCTTCACCTCCCCACGTGCTGCCAAGCCACGAAACCCCTTCTCCACTGCCCGTCCGGATCCCTTCCCTTCCCATCGCCAACCGCGATTCTCTCTTTCCCGCCTTCCGGCTCTCATGATTGGTCCCCTTTCCCCAGAGGGATTGTCTCGTCGACCTTAATAGCGGCACACAGCTACAGCGCACTGAATACGCATTCAACATAAGCAGCGGCTCCGGCCTCCTGGCGTCACTGGCACCACGACCACGCAGGCCCTCTGGCAACGTGGCGCCGTTAGCACCACGAGCACCCAGCCCCTCTGGACAATGCGCGCCACTGGCACTCGGAGCACCCAGCGCATCTGGCCACGTGGCGCCAGTGCATGCATCACGAGGACGTGGATGTGAATTGCATGGTCTGCTCAGTGCACTGATTGTCACGTGTTCCCGACCCAGCGTCGGGGGCGTTGATGTCAGCATCGCCATCCCCTCTTCGTCCAATAATCAACCAATCGCGGTCGCCGTCTACGTGCGTGGCGTAGCAGCCTCCTGCCAGCTGTCCACGTGGCTGCATGCGAACGCACCCCCTCTGTCGATCGCACCGGGCACCCGGCCCTTCGTTCCAGCCCCCAACTCAAATCCTTCCACCCTCTCGTCTGCTCATCTGCTTCAATTTACGCACAACTTTTCGATCCAACCTATCGTTCTTCGTCCCCCCTCTCTCTCTCTCTTCCGGGCCAGGCCAGGGAATCGTCCGCTGACCGGCTCGGAAAAGAAGTCACGACGACGCTGCCCCCCTTGCGCCAAGAATCCTCAGATGAGGGCGTATTCACACTAGCAACTTTCTAGACGGGAGATCTGGACTTGATTGCGGTTAGATTCGTCCAGGTGTGGCGGTCACTGGAGTCACACATCTTCAGGCAAGTGCTGGTGCGAGTATGCCCTGGTGCGGGACCCCCGGCCACACAATGTCGGTCACAACCTTTAAAGATACCACATAACGTCCATCAGCCGTGCTGCACTCATCAAGATCGTCGATCTGTGAAAAGAAAAAATATAAAAAATGAAAAAACAAGATCGACGAGCTCGTCAGGCCTCGCCCAGACCGACCGTGTCTTGACGAGATGAGCAGAGCCTCGACCAGCGCGAGACACGTGTCCTACCCCGGCCAACCAGTGTTTGGCGTGCTTGGACCTCATACTCCAGTTTGCCGCGCGTAACGCTAGCAGCACATACCGCCACGTGGCGAGCTGGCCTTGCCCTTCAGCCCTGCTGGCGTAGGCTGAGCGCCAGCCCGAAGAGAGCGCCACCGACGCCCGACGCCCGCGCAGGTGGGACGACGGACAACTCCCCGGATCCGCGTGCGCATTTGTTCCGCCTTACCAGCATCCCTCGCCCGTGACCCTCACACACAACCCCATTTGAAATCGACGCAACCTGCAAAGCTGCCATGCCTACTCCCTCTTTAGCCCACAAACGGCCGGCAGTGGCTGTTCCAAGTCACATCCGGTGTTCCTTGTCTCCCAAGAAGCGCCAAACGACCGATAGGTGAGCCAACAGTCAATCAATCGAGCGCTCGACCAATTAAATAGACTAGATTACCTGTTGCGGCTCCGCCCGCAAAAAAGAAAGACCGTTTCGCACGTGAAAGAAGAGAGGTCATCAGGAGGTTGAACCACGACCGTTCGTTTTGCGCATGAAAGAAGAGAGGTCATCAGCAGGTTGAACCACGACAGCCTGTCCAGGATGCATTTGACTCATGGGTTAGGACTCACCACGTCCCCCCGAGCTAGCCATACCCCTGAGAAAAGTGGTTGAATTTACTCACACCGACCCTCTTTGCGTGTGTGTGTGTGTGTAGGTGGGTGGGTGTCTCGGTTCAGTGGGCCGAGACGGGGTGATTGAAAGTCGCTCGGGAGTAGTAGTAGGAAGTTGCCTTCAATTATAAGAGTGTCATTGTTGTTCAGCATGTCCTGTCACGTATGACTGGAGTACTGCTTGGCGTTTGCTGTTCTGCTAACAAACATTCGAGCAGCCGTAGTGCTGGGCGTGCATGTTGGATCATTTCCTGGAAGATCAGAGGCAAACAAGAAACCACACGGCACGTGTCAGAATCATCCAGTGGACTCTCTCTCTCTCTCTCTCTCTCTCTCTCTCTCTCTCTCTCTGTGTGTGTGCAAGGAAACAATTGGCGATCCAAAAGAAAGAGACGACACGATTGGCGAAGCCCCCCCTTTCCCCCGGACGCCGGCCCTCCCCCCGCGAACGCGCCAGCCCTCCTCCCCGACTGCGCCAACCCTCCTTCGCCCCTGCGCCCGCCCTCCCCCCCGACTACGCCCACCCTCTTCCCCAGCTCCACCCACCCTGCGTGGCCGAGCGCACAATAGAGGAGCGAAGTCGGCTACGCAAGACGCGGAGTGTGGGCGCAGTCCTTTTCCAGCGCCACCTTCCCACGACTTTTTGAAGTACTTGTACTGGCGCTCCCGCAACTTCGCGGTAGCGGCAGAGTGCGCTCCCCCTAAGCTTGCCCGTACCGGGTACCGGTGCGGGGTATCCGCCTCAAGATTGCCCGTGCACCGTGTGGTCTGTAGGGGCCCTAAGGGCCTCGCCACACCAATGTCGAAACTCGAGTTTTCGACATTTTTTCTTCGCCACACAGACTGTCGAAGACAGTCGAAGAAAAAATGTCGAAAATTTTTCGACAATGGTCAGAAAGGTGGTTTCGACATGGGTGCCCGCAGCGGGTCCAGTTTCGACATCATGGAGACGAGGTGTTCGCAGCCCTTAGGCTGCGGTATAGTGGGCCTCCGCGTCTGTGTCAAGGTGTCGCATTTTTGGCCGCGGGCGACCAGGAGCAAAGTGGGTTCTTAGAGGGCAAAAAAATTTGGGGGACCAGTCCTTGCCAGAATTGCGGACTACCTACAGCTAGCTCTGGTAGAACCGGGACTTTTGGAAAAACAAAGGACTGGTCCTTGGATGGAAGTGGACCCCAAAAAGAAGTGGGGGGCATTGGACCGGTCCTCGGGTAGAAGCGGACCCCAAAAAGAAGCGAGGGCATGTGAACTGCAAAAGGGCCCTCAGGCCCAGGCGTTGAGCCCCGTCTTCCCAAAACAGGGAGGTCAGGCACAACGAAACAGGCATTTTGCAAGAGGGAACTTTGGCGATTTTCTGTGCTCTGACGAACACGCACAAAAATCTGAAATTTTGAGAATCCATAGATGAGGCCGTGTTTTTTCCAGAAATAATAATAGAACATTTACAAAAAATCATTTACACTGCGAAATAATCGTTGCGCCTATGCAGCACATTTTCCATTTTTGCCACTCAGCCATGCCTGGGCCAACTAAAAAAGTACTCCAAATTCAGTGAGTTTTCGCGCTCAGAAGAATGCGTGAAAAAAACTGAAAATTGGAGTGCTCAAAGATTTTATTGTGATCTTTCCAGGAAAAACGCTACATAAATTTTAAAAAATTTGCAGCCCTAAGGTTGCGGTCTACTAAGGTTCAGCCTCTGTGTCAAGGTGTCGCATTTTTTACGGCAGACGACGAGGACCCAAAGTGGGTTCTTAGGGGGCAAAAAAAATTGGGGAACCGGTCCTTGCCAAAATTGCGGATTGTCTACCGCGTGGGCGCGGGGAATGCAGCCCTAAGGTAGCCAAATCAATGAGACTAAGAGCTAACACAAGAGAGAGAGAGAGAGAGAGAGAGAGAGAGAGAGAGA